CACACCGAGCACAAACGAAGTCCGATTCTGGTCTGTCTTCCTGGCTACCGGCTTTCCTTTTCTGTCACTTTGCCTCCGATTCCTTGGCAAGTGACTCCTCGAACTTGGAGAGACCTCTTTGAACAGACTGCCTCCAGGCTGAACGGTCTGCAGCCTGTGTCTCCCATATAGCTAGATCGACGTCCATGGCTTTCAGGTCCGCCTTGCATACGTCTTTGTACCGTAGCTGGGGCTTGCCTGTTGGACGCTTTCCCTGCATCAGCTCTCCGTACAGGAGATCCTTGGGGATCCTGCCGTCGCCCATTCGCACATCGTGCCCGAGCCAGCGCATTCGTCTCTGTTTCAGTATTGTGTACATGCTGGTGATTCTTGCTCTCCCCAAAACGTTGTTGTTTGTCACCTTGTCCTGCCAGGTGATGTCCAAGATGTGTCTAAGGCAGCGCATGTGGTAGGCATTCAGCAGTCTTTCCTGACGGGCGCGGAGTGTCCAACACTCACTGCCATAAAGGAGAGTGCTCAGGACACAGGCTCTGTAAACCTGAATCTTAGTATACTCAGTTAGCCTATTGTTGGTCCACACTCTCTTTGTCAGTCTGGACATGGTAGTAGATGCCTTACCGATGCGTTTGTTTAGCTCCATATCAAGAGAGAGGGAGTCAGAGATTGTGGAGCCCAGGTACACGAAGTCGTGAACGACTTCCAGTTTGGAATCAGAGATGCCGATGTCAGGTGGGGAGTCCACTCCTTGTCCCATGACTTGTGTTTTCTTCAGACTGATGTTGAGTCCGAAAACCTGAGAGGCCTCGCTAAAGCGGGTTATGAGCCGTTGGAGGTCTTCAGCTGAGTGGGCAGTGACTGCTGCGTCGTCGGCAAAGAGGAAGTCGCGCAGACACCTCAGCCGAACCTTTGTCTTGGCTCTCAGCCTGGCGAGGTTAAAGAGCTTTCCATCCGACCTGGTCCGGAGGTAAATGCCTTCCGTGACAGATCCGAAGGCGTGCCGCAGCATAACTGCGAAGAAAATCCCGAATAGTGTTGGAGCCAGTACGCAGCCCTGCTTTACTCCACTTCGGATGTCAAAGGCGTCTGATGTTAGGCCATCAAAGACCACGGTGCCCCTCATGTTCTCATGGAAAGATCTGATGATGCTGAGGAGTCTGGGTGGGCATCCGATCTTGGGGAGGATCTTGAACAGGCCATCCCTGCTGACGAGGTCGAAGGCCTTCGTCAGATCTATGAAGGGTACAAAGAGTGGCTGCTTCTGTTCCCTGCATTTCTCCTGCAGTTGTCTGAGGGAAAAGACCATGTCGATGGTGGACCTGTCCGCTCTGAATCCGCATTGTGATTCTGGATAGACTCTCTCTGCAAGTACTTGGAGCCTCTTCAATGCGACTCGAGCAAACAGCTTTCCGACAATACTGAGGAGGGAGATTCCACGGTAGTTGTTGCAGTCGCCCCTGTCACCTTTATTCTTATACAGTGTGACGATGTTGGCATCCCTCATGTCCTGTGGCACCTCTCCTTCTTCCCAGCAGAGGCAGAGAATTTCATGCAGCTCCATGAGCAGGCTACCTCTGCAGCACTTCAAGGTCTCAGCAGGAATGCCATCTTTGCCAGGAGCTTTACCAGAAGCAAGGGAGTCTAGGGCATCGCTGAGTTCTTCCAGGGTCGGTTCGCTGTCGAGCTCCATTAACACAGGCAGACACTCAATATATATATATATATATATATATATATATATATATATATATATATATATATATATATATAATAAATCGACGTTCCTCTTATGTTACTTGCGGCGAAAAGGTGAAACCCTTCATAGCAATTTAATTTCAATAAGACTTCATTCCTATCCCCTGTCTCCTGGAGAGCTACAACATCAATATAATTTCCCATCACATAACAATGAACATCTGTAACCCTGTTTCTTAAACCATTAACATTCCATGACAACATTTTCAGTCTAGGGCGATCTATTATTAAACAATTCACTTTCATATCATCCCCAAAAAGTTCATTAAATGATAGCAATACTTTGTATAATATTTCCAACCTCCTCCCAATTTCACTCGCAAAAGCAACATTGCTTTTCTCAAGAGATTTTTTCAGTCCCTTATGTCCATTATTGGCACAACTGATTCCTTCATTGTATGTTTAATTATAGATTTCTTCCTTTCACTACGACTACCATCATTTACACACACTTCGCTTTCCTTCATTTTATCACTCATTGTTTCATTATTGTCCTCAACCACCATTTCCTTCCCTGTTTTGTAACTTTCCTTTACCTTCACCTGAATGTTTAATTTTGCCTCATTAGACTCGATTTTCTGCCCAAGATTTCTGAGGAACTCACAAACTTTCCTCATTTCAGCCCACACCTCCTTGACCATACCATTATGGCCATCTTTCTGAGCCACAGTAACCACTTCTCTCACCGTTACACTGTCACTGCCGGAGTCCTGAGTGTTGGTGTGGCTGCTTGTTGCTTGAGCCTGACGAAGTAAAGGTGACTTCTTTACCCACGCATTCGACCGACTCACTGGCGCTGTTTGGTGCTGGCTTTTCTACTGTGCTCCCGGTGTCTGGATAAGAGCTCTTGCCTGCTCTGTAACATTCACCGGCCGGGGAACATCCATACTCGACCTCTTGCTACACACAGCCGAGCTGGCGTTGTGAACACCTCCACATTTGCAGCATCTGGGAACTATTCTCTCACCCAGCTTAAGTTTGTTTCTACACACATTAGAAAGGTGAGACTTTCCGCAGAAACGACATCGTGGATCATGTTAACAGCTCCAGGATTTATGTCCCCATCTGCAACATTTCAGACATATTATGTGCTGTTCCACATACTTTGCCTGTAGCCAGCTCTGGTGATGAACACTCTCTCGGGAACTTCACCTCCCACTAGAGCCACAACCTGATTCCTAGCTTCATCCTTAATAAGGTGACGCTTGGCCCACACAAATCGTTGGTCGTTGAGGATTAATTCGGGGTATAGTATATGAGGGTATTGTAGATAATTACTTTCGTCCATTTCTCGTTCTCCTCTGGTATTTTCATGACAATTCCACTATATCTTTGCTAAGTCAGAAACATATCTGCCTCCATAAAACTTACCGTTATGTAAGGTCTGTTCACACCTTCCTTCTGCAGTGGCTCGAATTTGCGGTGCTCTCTTCCCAGGTTGACTGCAAACAGCAGCTTCTGGTGGTAGGCCAGCGTGCATGAAGTAGGGAAGAAAAGCCGCCACCTCCACTTACCGTCACCACCTTCACATTGTTCTGTCCTTTTATTGACACCAGTTTGATCAGTCCCTGGGGTTGTTTTTCATTCTCTTGTCGTTTCCGGTAGGTACACTATCACTGTCAACACTACGCCTTACATCCTGTCTTCTCCGTTTCCTCTGTCACCTGGTCAACACTTCCTGAAAATAACTCTCCTCTACTGACTGGCTGCTTTCCGAGTCTGTGTCCACGTCAATATTGCCGTGGGGAGTAGCCAGTTCCTGTGTTGTCCGATCCTCCATCTCAGTACCCAACATGGGGCAAGATGTGTAGAATGCGATTGGTATTAGTCAGTCTCCTTGTATGTTGACTGAGCTAAACTCCAATACTGATAGAGTGGTTTTTCCTGGGGAACTAAGATGTAAGATTTTGGAACAGCTGCATGTAGGCCATAATGGCATGAATGCTTTGAAAGCAGAAGCTAGAAGTTGGGTTTGGTGTCCAAAAATGGACCAGAATATTGCTGAAGTAACTAATTATTTACACATTTGCTTTAAGAAATATCAGAAATCCCAAGCCCTAGTACTTTCCTGGCCATGCACTGGGAAACCCCTGGTCTAGACTTCATATATATTATGCTGGACCTATGGATAATAAATATTACCTGGTGGTGGTGGATTCATACACAAAATTTCTGGATGTTCATGTGTGTAATTCCACCACATCATCTGTAACTTGTGAACTGCTAAGGAAAACATTTTGTAATTTTAGATTGCCAGATTTGGTGGTGTCAGGTACTGCTCTTTATTTTGTTTCTGGGGAAATGGAGATTTTTTTTTAAATAATTGTATTAAACATGTAACACATGCCCAGTATAATTCTTTTTGAAATGGTCTGGTTGGGAGAGCTGTGAGATCCTTGAAAGAAGGGTTAAAGCGGTTTACAGAAGGTACTATTAATACAAAGCTTTGTAGATTTTTGTATAATCAAAGAAAAACTGTTCATTCTACCACTGGTAAATCTCCTTCTGAATTACAGTTTAATTGACACTTTAAAGTGCACATAGAAGTAGTAAAGACTTTCCTGATAAAGAGAAATTGGTAAATAGCTTGGCCAATCAGTTGGCTCAGGGAGAGGATTGTTGTTTAACGAGGGGGATGCGGTATATGCAAGGAATTTTGGAATTGGTAAGCCTTGGGTAGAAGGGAAAATTAGGGAAGTCTTGGGCCACAGGAATTTCACAGTGCAAGTGCAGAGTTTTGGGGACATTAATTGGAAAAGACATGCAGATCAACTCATGCCAAGGTTCACAGGGAATTTTATAAACTTTTCAGGTGAGGGTGGGGCAACTAGTGATACCCATCCTAATAACGAAGGGGCAGCACCTGTTGGAGACAGGGAAGCAGATCAAGGGGCAGCAGAGGGTATGGGGATACAGTTAACCCTATGGACTCTACAGTTAGTAATTCAGAAGAAGGTTCCCCAGAAGTAACAGGTCTGAAGCCCCAGTTGACAAAATCAGGAAAAGTCATACGACCGCCTGATAGACTTAACCTGTAGGGGTAGAGTATAATTAAAAGGGGAGGAATGTTAGGATTATGTATTTTGTAGGATTAAGTACTACAGAGGTTAGGCATAGCATGTTTTGAGATGATACTCTTTTGTTTATAAGCATTGCAAATAGTAAGTTATGTAACGTATACCTGTGACGTCATTGCTTGTTGTTATTACAATAAAGCATGAAGGGAGCACGTTTATTTCTCTTCCGGACTAAACGTAACATTTACCATTAGAGAGGTGAGACTGACGCTGGCAAAACATGTCATTAAATGAAGATGATGCTAAAAAATTTAAAAACAAGTCTATTATAAGCTAATTTAACCATAAAGTTACAGAAATATACATGCAACCGACCAATTTTATATTTTACATTTTTATTTCATGCCGACTAACTGATGCTTGTTACTATTAGCTGAGCGACCAGCCGGTGTTCCTTAACGCTATTGTTTACAAATATAGCAACTTGTAAATGTTGCTCTTTGCTATCTACTTACCGGCAAATAGTTGCAACATCAGTTCCTTTACTGGTTCTTCTGTCTCACTGATGGGGTCGTCACTTGGCTGTGAGGTCGTGTCACTTGGCTGCGATGTGGTGTTTGTTGAGGACCCATTGACAGGAAGGAGGAGATCAATTGCTGTTTTATCTGGCAAGAAAATTCTGTCTCACTACACATTCTGAATAATATTACCAAAATTGTAAAATTCAAGTTTCAAAATTTATAATATCATATGTAATATTATATGTTAAAAATAATTGTAGATCAAAATGCATGTTATCAATGATTTACAGATTACCATATGAAAATTACCAATCTCTTTGTTACCCAACAGTTTGGTGAATATCTCTTGGAACAATACCCTTACATTTCTATATGATTTTGCTCATTGCTAAAGATAAGAATTTAAAATATAAGTTATATTAAGAAGTAGTATTGGGTGCCCTGGCTGCTAATATGTGTAATCTATATAAATAAAAATGGAAATGTTAGTTTGTTCAAAATCGCTAATCTCCGAAAGTTCTTCACCGATTGCTTTGAAATTTTCACACGACGTTCCATTCGCATCCGAGCAGGTTTTTATATACATACTTTATAGATGTCACGTCTGTGACGGTAAATAACATGTTTTTTTTTTTTAAACTGTGTTTTTCATGTGTTTTTCATATGAGGAAAATCTTCGAAACCTCTTTACCGATTGCTTTGAAATTTTTACACAACGTTGCATTCGAATAAGCACTTCTTTTTATATATCTACTATATACATGCCTCACCTGTGACAGGAAAAAACATGTTTTTTTTTTTAAACAGCGCCATCTGTTGGATGTAAGAGCAACACACGCTGTAATCTTTGAAAGTTCATCACCGATTGCTTTGAAATTTTGACACAACGTTGCGTTCGAATAGGAGCGTGGTTTTATATACCAACTATTTAGATGTCACCCCTGTGACAGGTAAAAACATGCGTTTTTGAAAAACAGCGCCATCTGTTGCACACAATAGCAACATGCACGCTATACTGAATATGTCACGAATTCCACTTCAATGTTTCCGATTGCATTGATAAATTTTATTTTCATAGATTTCGATTTATTATATTTTGTATTGAATTATTTTGTGTGATATTGATTTGGAATTGAGCTGTGTTGTTTATCATACCGTTCATTTCGTAAATATAAGTATGGATACCACACCTGTGACAGGTAAAACTATGCTTTTCTTGAAAAACAGCGCCATCTGTTGCATGTAGGAGCAACACACAGATTATACTAAATATCTTTAATTCCATTTCAATGTTTCTGATTGCATTGATAAATTGAATTTTCATAGATTTTGATTCATTTTCATCTTTATTTCAATATTTTGTGTGAATTGCATTGGAATTGAGCTGTGTTGTTTACCATACATTTCATTTCTATGAAAATTAAATTTATCAGTGCAATCAGAAACATTGAAATTAAATTGAAACTTATTTAGTATAGCATGTGTGTTGCTCTAACATGCAACAGATGGTGATTCTTTTCAAGAAAAGCAAAGTTTTACCTGTTACAGGTGTGGCTGTATAAGTAAGTATATACTTTTGTAAGTATAAGTATACTTATACTTACAAAATGAATGGTATGGTAAACAACACAGCTGAATTCCAACACAATGTCACACAAAATAATTCAATAAAAAATAAAATAAATCGAAATCTATAAAAATAAAATTTATCAATGCAATCGGAAACATTGAAATGGAATTGTAACATATTTAGTATTGCGGATGTTACTCCTACGTGCAACAGATGGCGCTGTTAAAAAAAAACATGTTTTTAGCTGTCACAGGTGAGGCATGAGCAACGTAGTAGGTATATAAAAACATTCGCCTATTCAAATGCAACGTTGTGTCAAAATTTCAAAGCCGTCGGTAAAGAGGTTTCGAAGATTTTAGAATGGAAGCAAGTCGACGAAGAACTCTGTAGGGTAAGGCAGGTCCTAGTCAACAACGGCTTCTCCAATGGTTTCGTGGAAGACATCATAAGAAGGAAAGTGAAACGCTATGCAACCTCTGAAGAGACAATTAACACAACATCTATACCCCCTATTAGACTATTTTACAGGAACTTCTTTTCCACAGCCCATAAAACGGAGGAAATAGTCCTGAAAGATATTGTCAGTAGAAACGTTATCCCTACAGACAAAAATCAGAAGATACAACTGACAATTTACTAT